TACTTCAACATCTCCGGGAATTCTAACGATTCTGATTATGATATTCTTCTGAACCACAGATAAAACGTCCAAAAAAAAAACAGGCAAAAATAGTAAATCCAAATTTATCTCAAGTTGTAATAACGGATATTCTTTCGTGCTCAGTAGTAATTCAACAACAGTCTAATTGATATTTAGACAATATAAAAGCCAACCATGTAGGCAAGTCATATATTCAAGTTTTTTCACTCTTTTTGATAAAAAAGTAATTGAGAATAACCGTCTTAATTTTGAAATGAATAACATAGGTTTAAAGAAAATATTAGCATATGTATATTATCTGGTTTACACTCTGCTTCAAGTTGATATGCATTGGTCAAAGGATGAGGATAAAGAAGTGCATATTATAAGAGAAAGCATGAGCCGACATAGATTTATAATTTTAATTTATAATAGTGAACAAACCGCTACATCAGTGTCTGTACATGGGCGTCAATCTAAATTTGCTTTACCAGATGAAACCAGATTCGACAATATTGGCCACATTATAAAAAGAGACGATAGTGCAAAAATATAGGATGTACAAAAGTCCGAATCTGCACCATCTACACCCGAATATTTCGAAAATTTTTACCTTAAAATTTAATTTACGTTTAAGATACAATATGTTCCTTTATTAAAAATTGTACTGTTTTCCTTAAAAATGAGAAAAAAAATCTTTTTGGTTGTAATTTATTCCTAATTTGTGTTTTTAATCCAATCTAATAAATTAATTGTAAAATTTCTCTTTGTATATTGAGCGGCCGTTAAGGGTTTAATACTATATAAAGAATAAACTGGCCTCAAATTTACTTTACTTACCTCAAAACTATTTTAAAGTTAATAATGAAGTATATTAATAAATATATTCCCAATAATACACTACGCCTATGTACATATGTGTAAAATCTGGAAGATATCATTTTTCATAAACTTCAATAAACTAAGATATCATATTTCTCTAATTAACATTCTTTCTACAAACGTAAATATATATAGACCAGCAAAATATTGATAATTTTAACGATATTCCAAACTATTCTATGAACTTGTCTCACTATACACTCGTGAATCGCGTCAATTTATATTGTTACGGGGACAAATTTATCTTAGATGGGTTACAAATTTACATATTTACATGTGCGAAGCATACACAATAAAAATGACCCCGGTAAGATTTACTAATGAAATTTTGCATGGTTGCCGCTACCGTTTAGTTCAATTTGTAGATTAGTCACCTTTAATTGAAAATTGTACGACTATATAATAGTCAGCTTAATCCTAAAATGTGAATATCATCCGCTTTGTACCAATACTACAATATATTGCTAAAAAATTGTTTAGCGATATACTGTGCCACAATACCTCAATTGTCATTTTAATAAACATGAAACCCGCCAATTTTTAAATTGGGACTCACCCACCAACCAATCACGCGAAAGTTAGGGAGTGCATTATAATGTAGTCTAATGTATAGAATAGGAATTTTAACAAACTGCCAATCCAATATAATGCGCAGTAAAAATGTTTATACAGGACGGGACCTCCAATACGTAAATTAAATAAAACTTTCAATTGTTAAAGTTTTTTACTCCATATTAAAAAAAAATAACCTTTTCACATTTAGCCGATTACGATCCAGCAACTGTCAGATTTAACTAAAATGTCATGCAATAATTTTTGTCTTAAAATCCTATATGACGTCAAAATTAGTGACGCACTGAAAGAAGGGTTTGGGACAGACTGTATGTAGTTTTTTTCCGACAGGGTGGCATTTCGATAAAACAAAGAAAAAATCCTTTTTTTTTTCAAAATTACATTTCTCTGCTCTTTGACTACATATGTATTACACATTGTTATTTTATGATTTAATACTTACATCAATAGATTTTTGTCAGCGAAAAAACCAATATCGCGATATGTCCCTGGACAGCGGCTACTCGAATTTCTTAAAACATTTATACCGCCATGTGCTCCTTTTTAAATGGGCGATAGAAATATGGAGGCAACTGTAATAGCATTGTTGGCGATTTAAAAAATAAAATGAGAGATAACCTTCCGATTATTTCCTGTAGAATTGATAAAATAATGTTTACAAATTATCAAAGAAAAATCCTTGTCCATAATGATAAGATATTTTAGCCGAAATAATCTACCTCCGAGTGTTCTTCGACAGCGTGACTTCCTGAACATTCCATCATAGTTAGACAGAATAATAGTCCGATAAGTCAAGTCAATCAAGTGTTTGATCATCTTTCACAGTCCACTTGTGAATCATTTTCTACACTGATTCACACACCTCGTAAAAATTGACATCGAGAGCAGAGGTGAAGGCCGAAGATTAGGAAACAAATGATCAGCCTACATAGTATTTATGAACAATTAAAACTAATATATCGGTAAATATCGTACTTTGGATCATAACTCACAGTGTAATAATATCTAAATGCGACAGGGTGAATTAATATGCATCGAAAATATATGTGTAAATTTACGATCGTACTCGAAGACATTTCTAAAGCATTTTTGAACAGTTCGAAAGACATATCATAATGGTCATCCATTCATAATAATTAATTATCATTCATAATGTCATACTGTCTACTGTGCTAGTAGGAGGATAAGAAACTAAGTTTTTGATAAAGTCCGAAGGGTGTTAGATCTGGAGATCTAGATGCCTAAGCAACTATGCTTACAGAACAAGCAAAATAGATTTAATCGATGAATGATCTTGTATCAAACATTGGACACCAAAGTGGAATACGATGAAGTGCAGGAAATCGAAGATTTATACACAAGGTATACTGAACTAATTATTAAAATACAAGTATTTCGGAAATTACTGGCGTATGTCTTCACCTTATTCTATAAAGGAGATGACTTACCACCGGAATGGACAAAAGCACATATTAACAACATCTACAAAAAAGGAGATAGAAAGAATTGTTAAAACTATAGGGGGCTAAGTGTCATAAATTTACTCTGAACACTATAGAAAAATAATAAAAAATAAAATTGAAAAAGAAATGACATATATGGAGGAGAACAAAATGGCGTTCGTGCAGGTAGATCCTATATGTACAGCATCATTTCCCTACATCAGGGTACTGAGAAAAGATTGGCCCGCAACCTTTCAACTCATATAGTCTTTCTAGATCTGACAGAGGCGTACCTCTGTGTACCACTTTCAATGCTCTGGGTAGCAATGGAAAAACAAGGAATAAACAAAAAATATATAAAAGCAATACAAGAACTTTAGAAAATAAGACAGTAAACATTAAAACTGGAAACAAATTAACTAGAGAAATTCCTATTAGTAAGTGACTAAATAAAGCCAGGTTGCTGCATAGCACTTACATTCTTCAAAATATATCAGAATGAGGCACTCTCAGTGTGGAGAAGAAAGTGCTACAATATGGGCATTCCTATCAAAGACAAAAGATTTTACACGATACACTTTACTGACGACCAAGTAAAACAAAAGGGGGCTTCATAATTAATATACAAAAAAAACGAGTACTTAGTATCAGAAGAAAAACCAGAAAACCTGCACATTAAAATGAGTACTAAAAAATCAACTGAACCTTCAAATACTTGAGTATATACGTGAGTCCAAATAATATCAAAAGCAGGGAGTAACAAAGAAAACATTCCAGCCACTAGACAATTACCCGGACTACTGTAAAATAATAAAATAACAAAAGAAAATAAAAGAAGAATTTATAAAACAATAATGAAAAGTGTTGGGTTCTGCGGCACCGATCTCTATGAAATGAATGAAAGGAAATCAAAAATTAAAGCCATGGAAATGAACTTTTGGAGACGATGTTGCCGGCTCACTGTATATGTTAGGACGAGGAACGAAGATAGGAGAGAAATGGAAATTGATCTAAACAAACATTCTTCTTTTTTTTTATATAGACATTACTCTGTCTGTTTTTCAATGTGCCTCCAGTAAGTTGTCATTCTATTGTTTTCGTGGTCTTCCTACTGATCGTCTTCCTTTTGGGGAACTGTCTCTTGCCGTCTTTAGTACTCTACTTGTTGTCATTCGGCTTATATGATCGTTCCATTCTACTCTTCTATTTCTTACCCAGTTTTTGATATTCTCCACCTTGCATCTATGTTGTATATCTGTACTTCTAGATCTGTTCCATACTGTCTTACCATCAATTTTTCTGCTGTTTCTAACATCCTTTTTGTCCTCTCTGTGTCAGGTCTTGTTGCTGTTTCTGCCGCGTATGTCATGATCTTAACATCATAGACATAATTGCAGCCAAAAGACTAAACTGTTATGGACACCTACAGAGAATGCTTGGAAATAGATGGCCAAAATAGATAGAAAAATGGATTCCGCCATAGACCAAGACGGTCCTAGAGAGATGTGAATGATGCAGTGAACTACAGAGGTTTAACAACTGAAATTGCTTAGAGAGAAAACGGTGGAAATTAGGATGCGAAAAATAACAGAAAATAAAGGCCAAAATTATCCAACAAAATGAAAAAGATTAACGAAATATTATAAAGATCTAATTCGTATCAAGAAAAACAAAAATAAAAATTTACAAGATTGTAATCAAACCAACACAAACAGGCGAATCTGAATCCTTAATATTGAGAAAAGATGGAACATCGTTAAAGAAAAAATTAAAGGCAGAATATTGGAAGGGTGATCGTGAATTGACGGAAGCCTAATGAAATGTGGAAAATAGTATAAAAGTAAAATAGAATAATTTGTTTTTTTTTTATAATTTATAATGTTGTATGTTATTTTTAGAATGTTGTAGTTTGCAATTTTCAAGCTTTGCGCCAACAAGGCCTTTTGAGCAAATAAGACAATTATGGACAACATATGTAGGACAAACAGGTAACCGTTTCCAGCACACATTTTCGAGCACAACACGAGTTAATCCCTTGGTCAGAATATATTTGTATTATCATTCAGATCACAATAAGCATTAATTTAAATTTAAAGTACTTGCCTAACACTAAGCACCATCATCTTCTTATGGGTCGCCAACTGATTATAATTATTTAAATTTCTAGCTTAGCAGCTATTTTTCAAGCAGTAAACCTAAGCCTACACAGTTGAAAAAAATTCATCAATAAATTTAAAAGGAAAATGAATTTTTTCTTAATCCAATCCACTTCTAAATTTATCTGGATTGGTTTATATACCCAGGTGTGTTATTTTAATAAAATCTGAAGTAGCATAGAAAAGATTAACTTTAATCAAGAATTTCAGTTCAAGTATCATTTTTTGTTTTAAATAATCTGAACAAATTATTAACAAAGTGATTTATTGTTTGATTGATGTCTTTTTTATCAAACATATGAATAATATTTTTTTATAGTAGACATACCGATTGTTTTTTAATAAAACTTTTTTAGTTTAAGAATTATATGTAGTGTTTTATCAGACGGTCTAGAGATTGATGCGAATTCTCTAACCAACGATGTACTTTTAGAAATCGTTGATTCATATTTGTTTAAAATATATATTTTTTATTTACATAAAGTACCTTGATAACTGTGGCGATTGGTACTGAAACAATAATATTAAATATATAATAATCAGAAAAACACTATCCTCGAAGTGCAGTAGATAGAACGACATTACTGCCTTATTTAAGAGGAAGAGGACTTATGGATATAAGTGAGCAATTAAAAAAAACCGATTACTCATTTAAAAACTTATTCAGGTGCAGGTGGAGACATCTACTCTACATCGCGCGATTTGTGCAGTAGATAACACAACACCTATCAAACTAAGGGAACAATAAATGCGCATAAACCATCTTACTAAGAACGAAAAAATGCACAACTGGATGGGTAAACCTCTGTACGGGCGACATCCCAATGAGGTCAGTCAAGACTATGTCGACAATACAGCGTTGAACTATTGGTTGGCATCAGGAAAGATGTTTCCTGAAAGAGAAGGTTCATTACTTGCCATTCAGGATCAACCAAAAATTACCTGAAATATATCGTCAAATCCCCTCAGGTCCAAAACGACAAATGCCAATATGGATGTCAAGCCATATCAGGATTTGTTGCAATTTGACAGGATGTCAAGAAATCATCCAACATCTTATTGGGGGCTGCCAAGCATTTGTTGCAACTGAATATAAAGAACGGCATCACTCAGTATTGAAGATCCTTCATCAAGATATAGCTTTTAAACTGGGACTTCTACAAACAAACCATCTCCCATATTATCAATACGTTCCTGAGGGTATGCTTGAGAATGACAACTACAAGCTATACTGGGATCGCACAGTGTTCACAGACTAAACTGTAGCACGTATTAGACCAGATCTCGTGCTAGTTAATAAATTAACGAGACAAACAACACTAATCGATGTAACGATACCTAACAACAATAATCTGCGTGTTAAGTACAACGAAAAGATAGCCAAGTACAGAGATCTGGAAATACAAATAAGGAGACAATGGGGAATTGAAAGTAACCAGACGATACCTATTTATCTTTCTAGCACTGGAGCCAATCCGAAGAACCTAGAAAACATAAAAAAGCTGAGTCTAAATTAACATCTATATAAATTTTTGAAAATTTTTGGGAGATACACCGACGTATCAAGTCACCTAAAACTCGATAACATGGAAAGAGTCCACTAGAGCTCAATACTTTTGATACCATGGGCTATATATATATATATATATATATATATATATATATATATATATATATATATATATATATATATTGTTATGATATGTAAAATCGAGAAAAATATTGGTTTGTCTAAAATATTTCAAAGTTCAAAAACATTAAAATAATTCAGATAAGTAGGATAATACCCAACAAACATTTCGAAGAAAGAAAGTTTTTAAATTTTTGGATTACCTGTATTAAACAAAATGTAAGCTATGCATAAATTATTTCCTTTGTTATACTATACTTGAGTGACCCGCATAATTTTAAGTGAAATCCAAAGAACAATTGAACCAGGTTTTCCAAATACATTAACGCAGTGATTAAAGACAATAGAAAGAGGTTTTTGTTAGTTTTTAAGAATTGTAGAAAAATATTATTTGTAAATAAGTTTTAGGAAATTTTATAGTTATAGGTAAAAAGTTGTTTGTTATCGAAATGAAAAAATGGGGAAATTGTGACGATTTTGATTGGCGGAGATTGAAAAAGGTGGGATAGGTATGTAGGAATGAAAGTTTAGCTAGATTTCGGAGTGAGAAAAGATAGTCAGTTGGTTTCCAAGGGTGCAAGGCGAACGGCCGTTGTTCTCGGGTAGTTTCCAGAGGTAGGAAGCAGTAGCAGTGAAAGTTTGTGAGTTTTCGTGTAGTTAGTGTATCTGACAGAAGCTGATCCAGTAAAATATTGTAAGTCATATTTTTCTACTTATATTCCAAGAGACACTGTTCAGGCCAACGAGAGATTCAGTTTATCGTAAAGAAAAGATATTCCAACAGTCATTTTTCACTCAGGCCAACGAGAGATTCAGTTTATTGAGAGAAGAAGAAGCTAGCATAATTTGAACGATTCGTGCATTTGAAGGAGATCATTAAGGACGAGATACTTGCAATAATTTATTGTAAGATTGCTGATTACTTAGGGAGCGGCCACGAGTAAATAGTATAGTCTACAAATAACAAGGATTTGGACCACTCATCATCAGAGAGAGATAGTTTTGTTTTCTGCAGTTTTTCTTTCATTGATAACACAATTTTTTACACTTAATTTAGAAAGGATATAAATATTTTGATTAGGAGATTTAGAGTAATACTTGGATTTTGAGATTTCAACTAATATTGTTTGTACCATTAATTTTGATTGTTCACGTACGTAGAACAAAATTTTGAGAATTATTATATGAGATTTTGTTTATTGAAAACTTTTGAGTGTGAATTATTTCATTATTTTTATTTCAATATATAGTGTTAGATCATATGTGTTTTTTATTATTCCGGTATTCTTTGGACCTTACCTTTCACATGTAATAGCATAGATATTGAAGCACGAATTTAACCCTGAGATAAAAGAATTAAAAATTGTGATAGAGTCATAATCATATCATTTAAATAATTTGAATTAATCAAAAAAATTAATTAGCTAATTATTGCTTGGCGCACCAAGACTTTAAATGTCACAATAATATATATATATATAATATATATATATATATATATATATATATATATATATATATATATATATAAATATATATATATATAGGTATCTGGGATGAGTGAATTTTTCCCTTAGGAGTGTGAGCCGTATGGCTAAATCTTAATAATGAAAACAAATAATAATTATATCACTTTAACTAATGTCTATTAGGTTAAATCTTGTGGTAGAGTTGAGCGGTTTTTAGAAACTGTATAGTTTTTGTGATCTCTGTAGGGTTGTTGAGCATTTCCTTCAAAGTAGGTTTTAAGTCCAGTACTTTATAAAGGTGTTTTACAGTAAGGTAAACATGTTGAGGTCTTCAGAAAGATGACAAAGGAAATGGAAATTATGAATACGATTAGGATAAGAAAGTAACAATATCTCGGCCACGTTAAGAGAGGGGATAAATATGTGTTGCTACAAACCACACGGAAAAATACAGGGAAAACGAAGTATTGGAAGAAGACGCATCTCCTGGCTCAACAATCTAAGAAAGTGGTATAATTGCAGTTCCGTTGACTTGTTCAGAGCTGCAATCTCAAACTCCTTAGAGGAGACATTGCATGCAATGGTGGCAGGTAGGACGTGTTCCAGAGGACATTAAGAAACCATGGGTAAGTTTGGTGTGGTCTCTAATAATCGGTGCTTCTCTTTTAGTTAGGAAGTCCAGGAAGAGATGACCAATAAACGGTTGGATTTGATGAAGAGTTGTTTTGCTCCTTTGCCATAAGTTTTGCCAAGTATCCCCTACTGACTTTTTGAAAACTGGGGTAACTCCAGTACTATGGTTGGTAGCTTCTTTGTCAAAATGATCTGCTGTTTCATTACCAGTAATTCCAGTATGAGAAGGCAGCTATATGAGAGAGACTGTTAGATTATGAGCAGAGAGGTTTTGGTATATGTCATGAATGTTTTGAACTAATGGGTGGTCAGTGAAAATTGTATTGACTGAATTTATAGATAAAAAGGAATCTTAACAAATGACAATACGTCTACTTTGATGGGAGATGCACTTATAATCCAACAGAATACTATATAGATCACCTGTGTAAATACTGCATGTTAAGGGTAACTGACATGATCTTAAAAGTTCATGTTTAGTGGTTACTGCACAGCCAACACAAGTGGTAGTTTTAGAAGCAACGGTATAGGTATAGAGAATTAAATCATATGATTTTTTTTGTATACTTTCTAAAAATGTTTTCTTTATAAGAATGTTTGGATATTCATGTTTGTTAAAGATGGTGAGTGAGCTGTCTATTGAAGGAAGGTTTTTGCCCAGGGGGGAAGTAAAGGTAGAGGAAATGAGCTAGTCAGAAGGCGGTCAATATTTTGGTAGTGGAGAAATTAATTGAGGTATAGGTTTTATGATAAGGTGTTAGATATTATTATTATTATTGGAAGAAGACGGCATTATGGTAATTAGGGACTTTAGAATATTGTTAACATTGGAAAATTGGGATAACAAGGATGTTACCCCAGGAAACGAAGTTGAAAAAATCGAAAAATTACTGGGCGCTATTTTGCAACTGGAATATTTGGGAGAAGCCAATAACAAAACGTACAATGCCGTAGGTATCGAAATTTTTTGTACGTCATGTTTTTTATTAACATTTAAGCAAAAAAAAAAACGACTTTTTTCATTCATTTAAATGAATGAAAAAACTCCGCAATGTAGATGAAAACGTTCAACAGACGAGTTTATTGAAAATACTTTACACCGCAGAGAATATTTGCGGGATTTATTGCATTGCGGGATTGAATAGACAAACCATAGTTTCTCGTATTGGGACCGTGCAAGTTCGGAACAGCGACACCTGGTGTCGTAAATCAGCAAAATTTACTGCGCTTTCATGTTAGATCGAGGTTACCGGATAACTGTCAAGGACGTAGTCCCAAAAAAGAATAAGAAGAAAAACTAAGATTGAGGTTATGTCGGTATGTTATTAAAAGGTAAACGTTATATGTAGTGTAAATACAAGTAAATATATTATTAAATT